CACCATATTCTTCAAAAAGACTTTTTGCTGAAAAGAAATTATAACATTAAAAGCTCTCATTCTTTCATATTCTTCTAAGAATTATTTGTACTTAAACTTAAGAGAAAAATCACTGTTGTGATAAAAGCTTTTTAGAAGCATTCATACTCTTGTATTTAATTTACATTGATTGTAAAGGTTTTCCTTAAGAGGATTCAGTTAGAATCAGTAGCTCTTGAGAAGACTAAGAACAGTTGTTCTTAGGTGTTACTATTGTAATCTGTTTGATTAAATAGTGGATTAAGTCCTTGTTGAGAAAGGCAAATCACTCTAGGAAGGGTGGACTGAAGTAGTTGAGTTCAACGAACCAGGATAAAAATAATTGTGTTTCTATTTCTAAGTTTTAATCTTTCATACTTATTCAACCCCCCTTCTAAGTATTATCTCACCTTCAGAGGAATCTTTTCTATCTTTCTAGCATGACTTATACACTTTAATGTATCATGGTACTACAAAAATAAATACATCGTCAAACAATACAATTTGTATAAAACAAATTTTTAAGAGATTGATTAAAATTTTACACTATCTCTCTTTCCCACTCATGCCTAGAATTATGGTGTGCATAAAGATGAAGTAATGACATATCATCTGGACCTCTAGAAAAATCACATGACACGACAACATCAGGTTTAGCTGCAAGAAAGATTCAAATAGAAGATGTAACTTAATGTACCTTAACTAGCTTCTATTGGATGTAACCTATTGAAGTTTAACTAGATTTATTTAAGGAATTGCATTACACGCATCAAAATTAGAAGGAAAAAAAAGAAAGAATAAGAAACTTATCAAATGTTAGAGATGAAGCTACTTGTCTTGAACTGAGAGGAGTAGAAGTTGATGAAGTTGTTTGGTTTGAATGAACATAAGTAGATATTGAGAGAAAGGGTTGAAAAAAATATTGGAATCAGATTTGAGAGAGTTAAGTTCGTGTTCTTAAGAGAATTTATTTTTTTTATATTTTAAATGTAAGGGAATGGAGAGGAAACAATGGTCGTGTCACTTAAATTGTAGCATCCTGATTTCAATACTCGTATAATGCATCCGAATTTTGGAATCCGGACAAATTTTTTACTTGCACTTAGCGTGGCTTTGAGACTGCATTTATAGTATTGTGGTGCGTCCGGATTTCAAACTTCAGACGGTGCGAAAGGGGTATTTTCAAGTTTTATTAGGGTGGGTGAGTAACAATATGTGCTGCAATGAACAAATCATTTTTATGTGGCACAACGAATTTTCAAAATGAGTCTAATCCATTAGGTCGATCTATTGGATAAATATTTTAACATGAGTTGTATTGTGACATCAAAACGAGAGTCCCTAACTTTTTTGGTCACCCTGTTGAACCTATATTTTTCATGAGTTGGACTAAACTGCCCATAGGGATCTTTGAGTTGACTTTTTTAATAATAATAAAAAGTTGGAGAAAAAAAGTTGAGACAAAAAAATTAGCAAAAAATAACATAACTCAAGTTATTCATTTTGATCTCACCTGATCAGAAAGGAATCAGTAGCCTGCCACGTGTCGTGAGCTCCTGTGTTCACTGGCGTAGTAGAGGAGGAGAGAGTGTACCTGCAAGGTACTCTGATGCTTAAGTGAGTAACGAAGTTTAGAAAGAGCAAGTACAAAGAGAATAGATGTAGAGAATAAGATACTTGACCCTCTAGTGAAAAATGGTACTTATAATGAGCCCCCAACGCAGGGCCAACGGTTACATTGCATTGGGCCAGATTGCCAAGTCTAACACAAGTAACTGCCATGGCTTACGTGGCGTAGGGAAGACCAGCACGGGGTCTTTTCCATGGATCAACTGCCTCGTGATCTTCGGAAGATGGGCTGACCAACTCTTTCGGAGATGGGTAGTTGCCTGATGGCGTGTCCCTGCATGGAGGGCACGTGGAGTCCGTAGGGAAAGCGCATGAGCTCTCCCCGTGCAAGACAATGATCTGCCCGACTGAGGTACCTTGTTGAGGTGCGTACCTAACAGAGGAGGATTGGGCCTTGTAGTGCCTCTCCATCACGGTACTGGGTTGGGTCTGGCCAACTGAGGGGCAGGTCTCGGCCTAGTCCAGAACAGGAGCTCTTAAGTGGAGGAGTAATGACTTAAGAGCGAGTCAATGTGTTAAGGACCAGTTCAAAAGATGGTGGATTGCCCGACATATAGAGTTGAGGGTCGTGTCCACGGCTAAAAGCGGCGGATGCTCGACGAGACAGTATGTCGGGGAGCTAGAAAATGAACGGACGTGCTTGATCTCCGAGCACGAGGGGAAGACGAACGTGTGCTAAGCGTCTAGTGATGCCAGGTATCAGGGAAATTAATGCCTAGGGTGGCTAGGGGTAGGGGCACTCAAGTGCCTAGGGGCACCTCGAGTCCCATGCTAGGTTTATAAATAGGGGATGAGTCCACTTTAGTCTCACGTTTCCCTTCTAATGATCAAGACATTCTCTCTTCCTTTTTTGCGCTCCTCCTCTCTTTGCTCCAAGATGTTTGTTGTCCGCTGCTGTCTCGTCCTCCAAGAACCGCTCTACCAAGTAAGTCACAACCACTTTACTCTTATTTTTTCCATTTTCCGATGGTTTCTCCAGTGGACTTGATGAAGTTCCTGGGGAAACTATGAAGTTTCCGGCGAATACGCCAGAACTTCTTTGAATTGGTACTGTTTTTGACGAGGCCCCCGGGGACCGGCGATGAAGCCCCCGATGACGTAGGATGAGTGATTCGAGGACCTGATGAAGGTTCCGGGGAGTTGGGATGAGGATCCTAGGGACATAAGATGAATTGTAAAATTGGGATAAGGTATCCATAATAATATGAATTTGCATTTCAGAAGTTGTGCCAAATAGATTAAATCATTCGTAGACATAAGATGAAACACATTAGGACCATGTTTACCAATCTTCATGCACTTCCACTTATTAGTTTTCACAATATATTGAATCAAGTGAGAAAGTTTGTCCATGCAAAGAAGGAACAAATAAGGTGACAGAGGATCACCTTGTCTTAATCCTTTCTTGGCCTCGAAGAAATCACCTTTGACACCTTTCCTTAACACCCTCAACTTGACAGAAGTAACTGCTATCATGATAAGGTCTTTCAAATTGTCAGGAACACCAACTTCTATGAGAACATTATTAACAAAATTCTAGCCGATATTATCATAGGCCTTGGCAAGATCAACATTGATAGGGAAGGAACCCACTTTGCTCTTATTTTTATGCATGCAATGAAGGATTTTATGCACAACAACTATGCTTTCATGAATACTTCTTTTGGGTATGAAGCCAGACTAGTTGGGAGTCACGATGTTATCAATGTGATTCTTCAATCTATTCAAAATGACCTTGCTAAACACTTTGTAAATTGCGTTACATAAGGAAATAGGTCTAAACTGAGACACTGTTTTGGGCTCTGCACTTTAGGAATCAAACATATGTCAATGAAATTAATGTCAGCCAGAGAAGCTTCCTTGTGCCAAAGCTGCTGAATAAAATTGCATACTGTTCTGGACTGGGCCGACGCTTAGCCCACAACCAAGCAGGCCCAAACCCCAATGAGGTTGGGCCTAAGAATACCACGCTGGCGAGCAGAAGTTCCACCGAGCACAACCTTCTGCCCGTCGGGCATAGGCCAATAGTTGTCAGGCAGGACCCTCACAGCCGACCAGCCAGCCTCTTTCTCCCCCGTCGTCGGGCAGGGTCCAGCCTGCCCGGGTAGCTCCTCGGGCCTTTCCCCATGTTCTCTACGTGTCCCTCACGCAGGGACACGTCATAAAGTAACTACCCACGTCCTAGAGATTCGGTCTTCCTCCTTTCGGATAGTGCGGAACAGTTACCTTAGGGCGAAGACCACGTGTTGGTCTTCACGACGCCACGTCAGCCCTAGCAGTTACTAACATTGGGCCTGGCAGCCCAGCCCAGTGCTAGGTAACCATTGGCCCTGCGTTAGGGGCTCACTATAAATACCCTCTTCACTAGAGGGCCAGGTAACTTAACTCTCTTACTTTCTCTCTGTACTTGCTCCCACTCTGCTCGTCACTTACTTTGGCATCGGAGTGTGTTTCACGTACACCCCCCTTCTCTTTCATACCTTCAGTGAACGGCTAGCAGATCAACAACGCATGGCAGGTCACTGATTCCTTTCTGATCAGGTAAGATCACATACATTCTCACCAGTGATGTGCCAAGTATTTTGATAGAAGCCCTCAAAAAATACATTAGGCTCTAGCGACTTTTAATTCGCCATGTCAAAGAGAGCTGACTTGATCTTAGAGTCTTGTAGACCATTCTTCAACTTCCTAGAGACACAATAGTCAAGAGTGGGGAACTTATGAGAGGTTTTAAACTAGGCAGCATTATTTAACTCAATAGTGAAGAAATTTTTAAAATGTAATTGGAACGTAGGATTAATTTACTCTCCATCTTTAGTCCACTTATTATTATTATCTTTGAGCATATTGATAACTTTCTTTCTTCTTCATTGCACAACCCTCGTGTGGTAGAACTTGGTGTTTTGATCATTATCCATCAACCATTTGGACTTCGCCCTTTGGTACCATAAGAGCTTATCTTGGTACATAATCATGGAGAGGTCAATTTGAATTTTCTTTTCTAGCTTCCTAAGGTCCTCGTGGTCCCTGTCATTCTAGATAGCCTGTTGAATACCTTAAATACGACTCAAATAGTGGACTTTATCTCTACAAATACTCTAGATGTTATGGAGATTCTACTGTATTGTTGTGGCCTTTAGGGAGTCCAAATTATGAAGCAATGAATTGTGACTCTCCCAAGCAGTCTTTAACATATCCTCAAAATTATCTTCAACAAGCCAAGCACATTCAAAGTTAAAAGATTTTGGCATCAGGATAAGCTCCATGTACATAAGAGTAACCAGCACAAGATGGTGGTCATAGTAATTTAGCCTATGAAACACTTTCACATGTGCTTCAGGATGTAGGTTTCTCTAGTTAACATTACAGAAGACACTATCTAATTTTTCATAGATTCTCATGTCACCATGAACCATGAGGCCTCTCCAAGTGAATTTATAACCTGAACTTCCCATGTCAATGATATCACTATCATTAATCTTGTTTTGGAAGAGGGTACACCTTCTAAGAAATGACAAAGTACCAACTCTTTTCTTGACCATATACAAGATATCATTGAAGTCACCTCCAACCAACCACCCATTGTTCATATTTTTTGCAATGTTTGTTAGCTCTTTCCACATATCCTTCTTCCTCTCTTCCACGGGGCTAGCATAGACAATTGAGAGATTCCAAGTCTTTCCATCTTCAGTAACAATTCTTGAATGAATAAATTGGAAATAATGCTTCAGAGTTTTCACTTGCAATTTGTCAGCTTTCCATCCCATGGCTATGCCATATGCAAATGCCTCTTAATTCATAGAAATCAAAACCATTAAAACCCAGACAAGAAAAGGCCCTTTTGAGGTTACCAGGGTCATACCGGGTTTCCATGAAAACAAAGATATCTAGCTTATTTTCTTGTGTATAAGAGTTACAAACGCAAAATAAGGCCTTGTTTGTAACACCCTAAATTTAATTGGAATATTTTAATTTATTTATTCAATTGAGAATATTCATTTTTCGGTGATTTTCGGTGGTTTTGTGGATTATTGAGAATTGTGCATTTTTGGGGTTATTTATTTTGAATAATAGTATGTAATATGAATTTATTAATATTATTATGAATTAAAATAAATATAAGATGAATAAAGGCAATTAGGACAATTCAGAGGAGATAGTGAGGATATTATGGAGAAAGCCCAATTGTGACGCCCAAGACTAGGTTTAACAAAATGGAAATTGGAAAGGGATTATGATTCATTTGTTAGACCGTGAAAAGTATTGAGGCCAGAGCTCTGAGGAGAGGATTGGAGGCCAGAGCTCTGAGGAGAGGATTGGAGGCAGAAGCTTTGAGAGATTCCCTGAAAGATTGAGAAGGCTTTGATCGACAGTTAAGGTATGTGGAGTATTGCCTTCATGATTTTCCATGTGTAAATTTCAATGAATTTAAGGTTGATTTAAGGTTTAAGGGATTTTGAGGGTGGATATGAGAAATAGTGATCTTTGACCTTCGCGGTCTAAATCTATTATTGTGAATCTAACCGTGGAATTCATTGGGGTAAAAGGAAAATTAGGCCTCCGTGGCCAAACTCTGATTTGTTATTTGTCTAACCCTGAAGGGATAGGAATATTAGATAGTGAGTAACTCTGATGCCTTGGGATAATTGTAGGGAAATTTGTGATTTAAGGCGTGAATATGATACGGGATTGGCATAATAAACCGTAGGTTTTGGGCCTTTATCACCGTAAGACCTTAGGGATGATTTAAGGATATTTTGGGGGCATTGGGGAAGTGAATCGTGTGGACATTTGGGTGGATTTAGGTTCCCGTGCGTAGCAGAATTTGTTGTTAGCGCACTGTTCGCCTAGCGAACCATGCTGTTCCCAGACTCGCCTAGCAAAGAATCCTTCGCCTAGCGAAGAAACTCACCCTAGACTCGACTAGCGAACATACCATCGAACATAGCAGAGTTTCGCGAATGTTGATCGTGTGTAGCGATGCCTTGATGTTTGGTTTCGTGATTTCTTTGACGAATTAACATGAGTATGACTGTGAGTTTTATGTGATGTGTACATGATTACATGATGATTTCTATGATGTATTGATTGAAAAACTATGATGATATTACCATGACTTTGATGAATTATATGATGACATGAGGTATGATGATGACTGTGATGATGATGATGAATATGATGAATGATGATGCACCTATGATGTTATTGTGAGGATGATTATTGACGTGTGCATCATGCATTCATGTGCATCCGGACTTCGGTTCAAGACCTCGATTACTTTGGCTTCAATTCTATTGTGTGGATGTGGAGTGTTTTGATGTGCTCCAGTTCTCTAGTAGAATCGATCCTATTGATGGGGATCTATGGAGGATTGATGGTCCAATGTCCATCGTGCTGTGATGATTGGTACCACATGCATTGAGTCTTGTTTCATTTGCATTTATGAGTCATTTGGAATAATTTATGATGTTGTGGCCTTTGAGGCCTATTGAAGGATATCAATGTGTTGAATATGAATATGACGCCATTTTATATGTTGATTTTTATACATTGATTATCATGAATCGTTTTACTCACCCTGCCTATTTGAATGTTACCTCCACGTGGGTAACATGCAGATGATCAGGTTTAGCCGTGGACGCCGTCGAGGATATTTTTGAAGTTTTTGAGTTGTTAGCCTTTTTGGTTAACTTAGACGGTCTTGCTCTGATATGTAACATCGGGTTGGGGTCTTTTAAGTTAAACTATGTTTTATTTGAGTTTATTTTGATTATCTTCCCGTATGAGGAAAAAAACCTTGATTTATGCCTTTTGAGTTCTGCTGCTTTGTGCAATTTGACGTATTTTGGGGAAACCCGTTGTTTACGGAGCCTTGACCTATTTTGAGGATTTGGAAAATGTACGCCCTTTTGAGGTGGCTTTTATTGAATTTATTATTTTACTCTGATATATGTGAATAAATGTGCCTTTTAATTGTGGGGTAGAAAAAAGTGTTACATTAGTGGTATCAGAGCAGGTCGGTCCGTCCGGCCAAGTTGTTATATTGTTAGTCCCCTGTTAGTCAATAATGTGAGAACACTATTGATGAGTTGCTTTCTTCTAACCCTGTTGGTGGTTGCAGATGGCTGGAAGGAATGATTGTGCTATTGCTAATGCGCTGGAATCACTTGCCCAAGTGATGACCCAGAATGGTGGATCTCCATATGAGTTTCGTGCTTTGGGAAAGTTCCAGAGGAACAATCCGCAGACTTTTGTGGGCACTCATGATCCTGATGGTGCGCAGAAGTGGCTGAAAGTGATTGAGAAGATTTTCTGAGTTATGGCGTGCACTGATGCTCAGCAGGTACAGTTTGGTATGCACATGCTAGTAGGGGAAGCTGAGGACTGGTGAGATAACACTTGTGAGAGATTGGGAGATGATGGCATTGCAATAACTTGGGCTGTGTTTAAGGAAGAATTTTTGAGGAAGTATTTTCCTGAAGATGTTCGTGGAAAGAAAGAGGTGGAATTTCTTGAGCTAAAACAAGGAAATATGATTGTGGTTGAGTATGCGGCAAAGTTTGAGTCTTTGGTAATGTTTTGTCCACATTATAATCGTGCTGACGCAGAGATGTCGAAGTGTCTAAAGTTCGAGAATGGATTGAGACCAGAGATTAAGCAGGGAATTGGGTACCAGCAGATTCTTCGATTTTTGGAACTGGTGGACAAGAGCAGAATTTATGATGCGGATAGCCGAGCTCGATCTACTCACTACAAGCAGCTGAGTGAGAAGAGAGAGAAAGGTCAGTATAGAGGGAAACCGTATGTGACTTCTGATGATAAGGGAAAGCAGAAGGATTCAGATGGAAAAAAGTCAAGTGGGGGAGCGGCTAATGCTCCAGGTAAGTGTTATAAGTGTGGCGAGCAAGGTCACTGTGCTGAAGCTTGTAAGGTGATGAGATGTCACCGTTGTTGCAAGAGAGGTGATAGAGCTAATGACTGTAAAGACGAAGCTCTGACTTGCTTCAACTGTGGAGAGAAGGGTCATATCAGTACCCAGTTTCAGCAGCCAAAGAAAACTGCTACTGCTGCTCAAACAAGTGGCAGAGTGTTCGCTTTGAGTGGTGCAGAAGGATCCAATACAGATAACTTGATCAGAGGTACTTGTTTTATTAATGATGTTGAATTGATTGCTATAGTTGATACTGGTGCTACTCATTCGTTTATTTCGCTTGAATGTGCTAAGAGGTTGAATTTGAAATTATCTTCTATGATTGGGAGTATGGTTATCGATACCCTGGCTAATGGTTCTGTGACTACTACGTTAGTCTATTTGAGCTGCCCTTTGACCATTTATGATAAGAATTTTGTGATGGACTTGGTCTGTCTACCCTTGCATCAAATTGATGTTATTCTTGGAATGAACTGGTTGGAATACAACTATGTTCATATCGATTGCTACAACAAGACTGTAAGGTTCCCAGAGTTTGGTGATGGTGGAGAGCTGATGTTTGTATCTGCCAAGCAAGTAGAGGAACTCTTAGAAGATGAGGCTCAGATGTTTGCATTGTTTGCATCACTTCAAGTTGATTATGAAGCAGTGAGCGTGGAGCTACCAGTTGTTCGGGAATTTCCAGAGGTGTTTCCAGACGGCATGAGTGACTTACCTCCTGAGCGTGAGGTAGAGTTTACTATTGATGTGATATCGGACACTAGTCCTGTGTCGATGGCTCCTTATCGGACGTCTGCATCTGAGTTAGGGGAATTAAAGAAACAGTTGGAAGAGTTGCTTGAGAAGAAGTTTATTCGACCGAGTGTTTCTCCGTGGGGTGCTTCTGTGCTATTGGTGAAGAAGAAAGATGGTAACATGAGGTTGTGTGTGGATTATCGACAGTTGAATAAAGTAACAATTAAGAATAAGTATCCACTTCCAAGGATTGATGATTTGATGGATCAATTGGTGGGTTCTTGTGTGTTTAGCAAGATTGATTTGAGGTCTGGTTATCATCAGATTCGCGTTAAGCCTGATGATATTCCGAAGACAGCTTTCAGAACGAGGTATGGACACTATGAGTATATTGTGATGCCGTTTGGTGTATCTAATGCACCTGGTGTATTCATGGAGTATATGAATAGGATATTTCATCCTTATTTGGATCAGTTTGTGGTAGTGTTCATTGACGATATCTTGATATATTCTAAGTCCGAGGAAGAGCATGCGCAACATCTAAGGGTGGTATTGCAGGTTTTGAAGGACAAGAAGCTTTATGCCAATTTGTCCAAGTGTGAGTTTTCGTTGAAAGAAGTGAGTTTCCTTGACCATGTGATTTCTAGGGGAGGAATTGGTGTTGATCCTTCGAAAGTTGATGTTGTGTTACAGTAGGAGACTCCAAAGTCTGCTACTGAGATTCGAAGTTTCCTTGGATTGACTGGTTATTATCGCATGTTTATAGAAGGCTTTTCAAAGTTGGCATTGACTTTGACTCAGTTGACTCGAAAGGGTCAAGATTATGTGTGGGATGTGGCTTGTGAAAAGAGTTTTGTAGAACTGAAGAAGAAGTTGACGACTGCTTCAGTGTTTATTTTGCCAGATCCAAGTGAGTCTTTTATAGTGTATTGTGATGCGTCAAAGATGGGTCTTGGAGGCGTATTAATGCAGAAATGTCAGGTTATTGCTTATGCTTCCAGACAACTGAAGATTCATGAAAGGAATTATCCTACTCATGACTTAGAGTTGGCCGTTGTGGTGTTCGTATTGAAAATTTGGAGACATTATCTTTTTGGGTCC